TCCTGGCCCCCCCCCCCCCCGTCTGCATATGACCCGAGCACAGAACGTCTGTCTGGCCACCCCCAGGCTAGTGGCAACGGCTTTCCATGATCCACAAGCTCTCAGTGCTTTCCTTGGAAAGGTGGAATCTGCCTCTGTCTGCCAGACCTGAGTTTGACACAGGGCAACCGCTGTTCCATCCCAGAAAGAATGTGACACAGGAAGCTTCCTAGGGTGCTCTGTCACCTCAAAGTCACTTTCCATGGGCTTCTCCATAAGAGCAAGGACATTCTGGCACGCGGTTCCCTTCTCAGATAAAGGCTGCTGCGGCCTCACTCGAGGGCAGGCGGGGCGTCGCCTGCACCAGCACCACCTCTCTGCAGGGCCACTTGCTGGGACTGCGCTGAGTAGCTCCCCACCATGAAATCTCGCTAATGACTCGCCTTTGCTGGTTAAGAAAAGCCACACTAAATCTGAGTTCAAACCTTCCTCTCACTTTCAGCCCTTCTCCAACATACAAAGAGTAGCCTAATTGTGCCACTTTCTAGAAAGTTCCTCTGGCAAAAGTCTCTCCTGCAGTAGTTCCTCAAATGGTCATGCTAAAGAGGACAGTGCGGCTGTCCTGGCCATCACCTGCCGCTCCTGCCAAGCCTCTCAACATCCATCACGCACAGAAGGACTCTAACGAGCATGCAGTCAGCTCATGAAAAGTCAAGTCCTGTGGTCTCCTCTTGGATTTGTACCCAAAAATACAAGCTAGTGTTTCTCCAGTTTCACTCCCTGCCTACACAAATTGCTGACTCCACAGTTTGTTAGCTCTGGGGAGGGGCGTAAGACAATCGTGGAAAGATATAACTGAAAGGTGGGCTTTAAATACATTACTCTTCAGAATCAATGCAAAATGCTGCAGATAGGTGAGTTTAAAGATGACTATGGTCATGCAGCCAACTGGATCAGGGAAAGTGATACAGAAATTTTCCTTATAAATAACAAGGTAATTTTGTCTATTAATGTATTTTCACCAATTATTTTATAACCGCATTTATAAAGCAAATTTTTAAGCACACATGGATACAGAGAAAAGGAGAAAGAAACCCCACATGTCCCCATCTGGCATCAACAGTGCACAATGTCTGGCCAGTCTGGCCTCATCTATTACCCAATACACACACGTGTGCACACACACACATCCCACACCCCGCAGTATTTGGAAACGAATGCCAGGCACAACTGTATCGTTTGCCCACAGACGCTTCAGCTGGAGGACCATGCCCCCACAGCAACTGCTCACGCTGGGAGCAGCTTCCCCCCTTCCCTCCCTCTGCCACAGCAGCACCACCTGCCTTCCCTCCACTCCAGCTCCAGAGGTCTCCAGCTTTGATTTCCTCTATAAAGTGTGCTCCTGAGCAAGGAGCGTGCGACTGCTCACAGAAAGCATAAATGTGACAACACACTGATGTGATTCCTCCCAGAGTGTTACACTTCAGCAGGACATTTGGAAACCTTTATCAGAAGCAGCCAACGAGCACACATTAGAATTCTAGGGAAGCAAGAGGCAACCTCCGTCAGGGTAGGAGAGGGACCTTTCTCCTGGCACTCAGGTAGCAGTGACTCCTGCGGCTGTCCTACAGCTGCTCCAGTCTGAGCAGAGAGCAAAGCATGACGCACCGGCCCTGGTGGACCTGCTGTCCTGTCACCCTGAGCATGTGCACAGTCCTACCTCAATCCGAACGGCTGTACTGGTCCTCTGTACTGGCCTCACTTTCCCATCCAGACGCAGGGCCTCGTGTCAGAGAGAACGCTGGCCCAGCGAGTCCATACTGCTGACAGGCACTGGGGACAGGCCCAGCCACGCTAAGGGATGGTGACAGACATTTTCCAGATCTGCAGTGGCAGCTCAGATCCACTAAAGAAGATGTGTTGTTGGCTCTCTCGTCCCCTCCCCCACCAACTAAACTATCACAGGAACACAGATTCCTCCTACTATAAATTCCTTCAGTAAAAAAATGTGCTTTTTGCTCTCACCTCACAAATTACAGAATAAAAAAATGTACATGGGAACTAAATTGTTCAGTTAGGTTCATTAAACAATACTTAGGATTCAGAAAATGTGGCTCTCATTAGGGCCTTTATTTTATTTTTTATTTTTTTTCCTTTTTGTCTTTTTTACTGACCGGCAACGGGATCGCAACCCTCGGTGTTGCACCCGCACCGCGCTCAGCCAGTGAGCGGGAACCGGTCTCCACATGGGATCTGAACCCTCGGCGGGAGCGCCGCCGCGCTCCCAAGCGGCGCACTCTCCAGTGCGCCACCGGGCCGAGGGCCTTTATTTTAAGACAATTCTAGTGGCCACAGAACTGGTGGATGGAAGAATTATTTAGGGATTCCCAGACTTTGTCACCTGCACTTAATGCTCATCTTGTCCCACTTGGCATTGCACCTGAGCCAACAGGTTCCTTCAGTTAAAAATAAGAAAATTTCCCTAAGACCAATTGCCGTGAGCCATCCTGCTATAGGGAACGGCATGGGAGCCTGAGTGATGCCCCTTGTTCTGCAGGCTACAAGGGGGTCCCATGTGTGTGGTATGGCTCCATGGAAGTTCTTGTTTGTTCACCTTTGGTTGATTGACAGGGCTTCCCAGAATTAAACAGCATAACCTTTTGGCTTAGTATGGCTTTGGGAAATTCCCTGCAGTTTCTCAAAGGACATGTTAAAATACATCAAAATTAACTGGTTTATTTAAAGGGCATTGTCAGTACTAAAGGTGTTTTTGATGCATGTTCTCGGTATGGGTTGGCTCTATTTAATTTCGTTATTAATCTTCCTTCTTGGTGATGTGTGCATGGACCCATTGTGGTTGTGGTCATGCTCTTGTACGTGTGGAATGAAGTTATTATGTTGGATTTCTATCCACCTTCCTCCTGGGAAACGATGGTTCCGAGTGTAGTGGTGCTTACAACTAATTGATCATCAACCAGTTACAGATTTCTTTGTTCCTTCTCCACTCCCACAGTTTCACTTGATTTACTAAGAACATGTTGTTTTCCTGGTAATAATAAGAGTGATATATTGCGTTTTTGTTAGTTTGAGTAGGATCATTTAACTTTTCACTTTGCTCCTTGTACTGTTCCCAGAGTCGATTGGTAAAAAAATTAGAAAGTTTTACTATAAAGATGAACAGGTAAAATAATAAAAATATATAAAAAGGTTTTTGATATTAATAGATTTTGTTTAGATTATAGTATAATCGTTTTTAATAGTAGTATAAAATATAATAGAACATTATAATCAAGTTTCATTATGTAAAATCGTGTTGTATATATTGTGATTTTGGTCATAAATTAGAATAAATATAAACATAAGACATTAAATTGTTAAATTTAAGTATAAGTAAGATTTTATAAGAATTTAGAATATAAGTTTATGTGTAAGTTTAAAAGGTCAAGAATTGTGATTCAGACCAAAAGTCTGACGCTCTCTAATGCCAAGCATGCTGCTATTGTATAGTTTCCTGGCCACAAGCCACAGGCTTTGGGGTAAACTATTGATGCATGAGTAGATGTTCTTGTCACAACATGAGTTTGACCCTTCTTTTTTCAATAGAAACGAAA